TGGTTCTGTGTTGCAGAAGGTTACGCCGGTTGCCCTTGCAGAGTTCTGTCGATGGTCACCGCCGCTGCCCGTCGCAAGGCAAGGTCTTGCGCGCGACGGTGCTTTGGCTTGCCCTGCGCAACTCTGAGTCACAGCCTGCAATAGCACCGCTTCCAGCCAACGAGCTTGATCTGCCAGATCACGAGCACCCTTGCAACTCACCCGCGTCTTTTTTAGGAGAAGTTAATCCATATAGCTTTCAGCTATCTGGGGAACAATCTGTTGAGCACGGAAAATCATTGTGTTTTTGGGAAAAGAAATAAAGGAAACTCACGAACATTCAGAAGCGCGCTTCACCGTAATTGAGCTAGTTAATTACCACTGCGCCTGAGCTTTCTGGCACTGACAATGCAAAACATTTCCACACACACACCCCGAAAACTTAAGCACACCGGCCCACACTCAAGCGCCCTCCACCCTGCTGTAGTTTTGCCCATTGCCACCTTACGGCTTCCAAGAAATTTCTGCGCTGAGCTTCGCAACCTCTGGCAACAGAACCAGCGACAGTTGCCTAACGCGCCGCCTTGCAGGATGGGGAGTACGATTCTGCGCTGTTTCAGGAGCTGCGTTTGGCGCCATTGATGTTTTCGCCGCTGCAGGCTACGTCACGCGCGATACGTTTTTGCTCTACGACGGGCAGCGGCGCGCGTCGGCGGCACGTCATGACGGCACGCTGCAGCCGCATGGCAGGGCAGCACCAGGCAGCGTCGGGTTTTGGCGTCGAGGTCGCGCTTTGCTTGGCCAATCATCCTCTCGCGCGATTGATCATTTGGCTCTTGCGGGCATCTCAGGCCAAGCAGCCCTCGCTGCGTCGCTTCAGCTGCTTGGCGAACCTCGCTAAACCAAACCGAAGTCGCGACACTTTGCCTTGCGATTGGCAGCGGCGAGCTTTGACGGAACGCGGCAAGGGCAACCCGCCTCACCTTTTGCACGCAGCCTACGTTGCGCGCGACGCGCTAGTGCTCAGATGCTCATTCGTTCCTGCTTCTTCTGCGTAAAATATACCAATAGGGCCGGCAAAGCCGGTGGGCGGAAGTTTCAAAAATATAGTTCTCCTTCTCTTTCTTTTCTTGATTCTTTTTCCATTCTTCTTCTTTTTTCGCTGTTTCTCTTGCTTCCGTCATTCTTTCTTTCTTTCCTTCCTTCCTCCATTCGTTCCTCCTTTTTTTCTTCTTTCTTTTCTCTCTAGATTGCACAGCGGGTTTTTTTGCGATGCGCAAAGCCACCGTATGAAAAAATGGCAACAAGACAGCAGCAAGCAACATTGCATTGTTCAGTTTCTTGGTATGCCAGCATTTACCAGTGACTGCCAATTTGATCTGTCCAAAGAGAGTGGGCGCAGTGTCCTCCAAAGTGGAGTATGGAGTGTGTGGTATGTGTGTGGTATGGGGCTGCCAAAATAGGTGAGGAAATTCGTGTAACGGAGGGGGTCTCGAATGCTGCAAAAACTGAACTCTTGTCCACGCATCCGCACGTGCGAGCGTCCTCGGTGTTCAAGCAATGAGGGATCTCGAAGGATGTGGCCTAGATATTTAATCCGGGTTGGGGTAAGCAGAGAGGGAAGGTGGGTATGTGCATGAAAAAAAGGAATTCGTTGGAGCACTGCTCCTCTGATGGAGAGAGTACCCGGTGGTATTATATTGTCTGAGTTGCGATTCTGTGGGTTGGACGATTTGCACGTAAACGTGGAGCTTCTTTTTGGTGGAAATATGCTTGTGGCGGAGGAAAGGGTCATGGAGTGGGTTGTCTGGTGTCCACGTGTGTTGGGCAAAAGTGTCAGAGAAATGGATTAAACATCTTTCATGACAGCAAAGTGAAAATACAGAAAATATGGAAAAATTGGTGTCTTGAACACAGAAAGTGGTGTCTTCATTGAGGGAGATGACAACTTGAACCAGGGGCTCAGGGACCCCCGATCGAATAAGAGAGGAGGAAAGATGATCGAGCATGACAGAGTCAAAAGCTTGAGACCAATCGAGGAAAAGAAGGTTGAAGGGGGATGTGTGTCTTTCGTGGAGTTCGATAAGTCTTCTAACTAGAAAGACGGGAGTCGAGGTGGAGCGAGCTTGTCTGAAGCTAAACTGCTGATTTGGAAGGAGATGGCCGACTGCGGGGGGAGTTCGCAAATGTACAATGGGGTCTCTTTTGGTCTCTGCCATAGTAGGTGTGATCTGGGGGTCTGTCCAGTGGGAGGTCTTGGTTTCGCCTTTGCCTTTGCGTGCCTTTGTAGTTGGGATTGTGGTTGTAGCTGCTCTGCTTTTGGGCTAAAACTGATGAGGGGTGCCCCCTTGTTCCTGTAGCGCTTGTTGTGCTTGGGAGTGTAGTCCAAGTGAGGCTTTGGTGAGCAGTGCCCCGACCCTTTTTTCTCCAACTATTGGCCCAATCTCTTCTGGAGACTTGGCCAACTTTTCAGAAGCAAGTTGAGAAACCATCTCGGCCAACTTTTGCAGAAGAGAATTGGGCCAATCAGATCAGATCTAATCTACTCCCGAACAGCTAGCCCCATGTTTGGTAGCACCCCAAAATCTTGGCCCGGTCTTAACTTGACCCCTCTCGCTGGTTCCCGAATGCTGGAAATCCTACAACTCCCAAAACAAGGAAATCCAACCCCCCAATCCCCGATAGGCCCAGGGCCCACTTGCAAGAGATGGGGCAATGGCTGTGGGCAAAAAGTTGGAAATGTCAAAGACCTGCATGTTCCTGTCATGGTGGTTCTGGTGAGCCCATAGATCAACTGCAATGTAGAGGCAATCCTGGCTGTAAAAGCTGTATGCGACTGAAGATGAGAACTACACATGTATATCTTCTTGGACATTTGGCATCCAACACATAGGCGACCTGCGCCAGGAGCGCTGGGGAGCTGCTGGTTGGGGCCTGCTTTGTTGGGCCATATTTGTAGCGTTGATCTGCTGGGTTGCAAGGCTTGTTGGTCTGCTGGAGCTGCTCGAGAGAAAATGTGCATGAGGGCCAAAATGGTTGTAGTGAAATGCTTTTTTTCTGAAGAGATGTCACGTTCAAAATGTATTTTTGGAGCATCCCACGTGTTGGGAGGTGCCATGTGAACTTTACTCCTCTTCAAGGCCTTGAATGGAGGAATGCCTAAAAATCACGCTGCGACAATGGCCTGCTTCGGGATGGAGGCTTCCTGTAGCATGATTGTTGCTCAGGGTAGTTCTGTTAAAACCAACTGCTGGCAGTCCCTTTAGCAGGGCAGTGCGGTGTGCTCTGGACGCTTCCAGGGACTTTAGCCTGCTGTCAGTCATCTCCATCTTGAGTTGGAGAAAAGCAAGGCAAGAACGAGGTACAGTGGTACTCCATCATAGCGTTCTTAACGCGCTGTTCTGCTGCAATATCAACTGCGGGTAAAGTTGTCCCTGGCTTCCTGAGAGATAGTCAGCTGATGTCTCAAAGAGGGGTCGAGTTCCATTCCATTCTATCTCCATAGCAGAAAGAGCGGCCAAGAAGTCCTGCATAGGCTCATGCTTGGGCTCCGTTCTGGATTGAAGACCCTGCTGCTGTGTGAACTTCTGCCATAATTCTTGTTGTTCTGGCAAGGGTTCAGTCTTCGCAACAGGTTCCATGGCTCTGCGCAGTACAAACCTTTACCTGCCCCTGCCCCTGAAACTTAGCCGTGTTTTCCCCATGCGATGCGACTTTGATCAACCTGACTATATCAAAGGCTGGAGAAAAGTAGCTGCTGGCTCCCACTTCTAACCTTCACCTATCCGTTGGCTTTATGAGGTGGCCTTGTTAGATCTTTTCTTTTTTAAAAAGGCTTTTTGGCGGCAACCCGTTTGCAAGTTCCACGCGGAGCTGCTGGAAGTTGGTGGCGAAGGAGGGGCCCACCTCCAAGAGCTCTGCGGGGATGCTGGGCCAGGGATACGCAACTTTCTGGGACTTCTCCTGCTGCCTCTTCTTTGTAGCCAGGCACTGGGACACCTGTCCATGGAGCAAGAGTGGGCAAGCGTAGTATATGTTTTTCCACACGTTGGGAGGGGAAATGTGAGCTGGCTCCGATCCTACCCCCAAGCAAAGTGCAGTGTGAGACCGCTATGAGTTTATGCATCTGGGTGGCCCCTCTCTTTTTTTACCCATCTTTCTTCGAGAAACCTGCTCAAACGAAAGATCCCTGGGAAAAAGAAACCTTGACAGAATGGTGGAAGTGCAGTAGAATGATGGCAAAGGGAGCAGCAAATAGCGACCGGGCCTGCAAGTGCGTGGCTAGAAGCACCAGCACCACCGTAACGACGATGGCAAGAAGCTCGGCCACCCAGAACAAACGAGAGCTTGAGAGTGCCGGAGGAGCGCGACCTCGAGCTGAAGTGAAAAGTAGCGGGGGGTGGGAGGGGGCAGCCCCCCCCTGCTGATGAGAAGTGATGATTCAACTAAGGGCAAAAACCTAAAAGTAGGGCCGAATGATGACAAAAAAAGTGATGAGTAGGGGCGCCAGGAGGCGTTCCAACAAAGACATTTCTTGTCAAGGGCAAAATGCATACTTGATTGCAGGGCCATGATTGGGGGGGAGGTGGCCTCGCCCGAAACACTCGTTTTGCGTGGTCGGGCTTACGCAGTCGGAAGTCTAAATGCGTGGCAACTGTCATACAGTGCTACAGATTTCATGGCAGGGGCAGCCTGCGTTGCTCAGCTTCATTCACCGTGTGTTCCGCAGGCACGCGCGCCCGTGTCCCGAGACACATGTGTTCCGAGAGCGCACGGTACTTTGATACACATGTGTGTTCACGACGCACGCACACACACACACACATGCGTGCGTGCGTGCGTGCGTGCGTGCTGCGTGCGTGCATGCGTGCGCGCGTGCCTGGGTGTGCGTGTGTGTCTGTGTGTCTGTGTGTCTGTGTGTCTGTGTGTCCAAGTGTCTGTGCGTCTATGTGTCTAGTGTCTGTGTGTCTGTGTGTGTGATTTTTTTCTGTGCCTGTCCGTCTGTCTGCGTGTGTGTCTGTCTGTGTGTCGCGCGGGAGGGCGGGCGTGCGTGCATGCGTGCGCGTGTGGCGTGCGCGCACGCGTGCGTCTGTGTGCATTCGCGTGTGTGTGTGTGTGTGTGTGTGTGTGTGTGTGTGTGTGTGTGTGTGTGTGTGTGTGTGTGTGTGTGTGTGTGTGTGTGTGTGTGTGTGTGTGTGTGTGTGTGTGTGTGTGTGTGTGTGTGTGTGTGTGTGTGTGTGTGTGTGTGTGTGTGTGTGTGTGTGTGTGTGTGTGTGTGTGTGTGTGTGTGTGTGTGTGTGTGTGTGTGTGTGTGTGTGTGTGTGTGTGTGTGTGTGTGTGTGTGTGTGTGTGTGTGTGTGTGCGTGTGCGTGTGTGTGTGTGTATGTGTGTATGTGTGTATGTGTGTGTGTGCGATTGTGTGTCTGTGTGTGTGCGATTGTGTGTGTGTGCTTGTGTGTGTGTGTCTGTGTGTGAGTGTGTGTCTGTGCCTGTCTGTCTGTCTGTGTGTGTGTCTGTCTGTGTGTCGCGCGGGAGTGCGGGCGTGCGGGCGTGGGTGGGTGGGTGGGTGTGTGTGTGGTAGTGTGTGTGTGTGGGAGTGTGGGGGAGTGTGGGGGAGTGTGTGGTAGTGTGTGGTAGTGTGTGGTAGTGTGTGGTAGTGTGTGGTAGTGTGTGGTAGTGTGTGTGTGTGTTTCTGTGTGTGTGTCTGCGTGTCTGTGGTTTTGTGTGTGTCTGTGTGTGTGTGTCTATGTGTGTGTCTGTGTGTCTGTGTGTCCGTCTGCCATTGTTTAATGTTATTTTCGCTTTTTCAGATTTTTTCTGGGTGGGTGGCTCTTCGGCGCTTGTGGCTTTTACATGGGTTTATGTTGCTTTTGTGGCTTTTCATTGCGCGTCCTCTGCATTCACAGTTCCTCTCTGTTTTGCTTTTGCAGCTTTTTATTGGGTTTCTGCGGCTTTTGCGGCTTTGGCTTTTCGCATCCTCTGCATTACCCAGTTCCTCTCCGACAGGTGGTTTTTTGGCTTCGTGGCTTTTGGTGGCTTTCTTCTGCTTTCTCAGTTGGTTTTTGGCCTTGTCTTCCTGCGTCCTCAGCGTCACCAGTTCCCCTCTCGTGCCCCCCGCCACCTTGAGGCGCAACCCGCAATGCAACATCATACGTGGGACAGCACGCGCCGCAGCAAAAGGCTCAGTTTCGCACAGAGTCTCTTCGTGCCAGGCTGCAATGTTTTGCAATACCTGCCACCATTTTGCATTCGAATCCTCGGTCAACCTTTCCACGGTTTGGGGGATAAACTCAAAGTCAGTCTCCCTCTCTCCCTCTCTCCCCGTCTCCCTCTCTACGCCGGATGCCCGGCTCCAACAGAGCAACTCGACAACTTCCGACACGCAACCGCCAAAAGATGACAGACAACACCAAGACATCGCGCAACACAGAGTTGTTCCAGAAACAGCTGGGCGGGAGAAACCTAGTTCAGAGCCAACAGCGGATAACCCACCGACGTGGTCCGAGCAAGTAAAGCGACAGTGCAGCAACAGGTGCAAAGCCGGCAGCCAGACAAACAACAAAGATGCCAATGCAGCAACAGGCGGCCGAGCAACACAACAGACAGCAACAACAGCACGGCCACTCGGCCAGGGATACATCCCACATCCAACCGTGAGGGACTCTGGAAAAGGGTCCACATCCAGCCACGCGCAACACTGCACGTGCCAGCACGCACGACACATGCACCTGACGTCAACAACTTGCTTCCAGCGCGACGAATGCAGGCCCAACAGCGCGCGAAGACAACTGGCAAACAGTCTGAAGTCAGCCAACCCACACCGAATGGACAAGGAACCACGCGACAGCGACGATGAAGAACACCAAGAAGCACAACGAGCAAAGGGGGCCAAAGCGCCTGAGGAACCAACACAGCAACAGGTCCGGGAAGACAACCTAACACACCCCCGGTGCTGCAACTGGCGTCCAATCTGCATCAAAAGCAGAGGCCACAAGAAGCAAACAAGCAAGCAACCAGTGACACACATCAACTTCTGCTACATTAAGGGACCCACGAGCAAAAGACAACACCCGCCCTCACAGCAATAGACCCACAGACAGGAATGATCAGCGCAACTCTGATCAGTGACAAGCAACACTTCCTGATCAAGCGCGGTTGAACACAAGCAGTTCTACAGCCTCAGGAAGACTACCTGCTTGCGCTGCTTCGAGCAGTGGCCAACAATGGGCGGTCAACGCTCAGGATCCACTGAATCAGAAAAGGGTGGTCAACGCAGCATGGTGACGTGTCAGCAGCATTTCTACACCCAGCAGCAGCAGCAGCAGCAGCAAAAGCAGAGATCATCATGCGACAGCCGCCATAATTCAAAAAGAGGAGATCATCATGCGACCACTACCAGAAGTCTACGATGAGAACAACCCTTGGGAAACCAACAAAGCACGCTACGGACTCAGATCCTCACCAAAAGCACGGCAGGACCACCTAGCAGCACGTCCCACCACAACAGTGGGAATGACAAGACTCAAGTCTGAGTCTAACGCCTGCCGCGACAAAGGCGGAACGACCTGCAGCATGATCTTCGTCCACGACCTCGTCTTGCTTGGCAAGCAGCACATCATCGACAAGATCTCAAGCGAACTTCAACAGCGTCTTCTCCTGAGACTAACAGGAGTGTTGACACCAGGACCAAGAGCTGTTTCTTGGCAGAAAGATCACGCAAAAAGCGGACTCGCCCTGTTGACAACTATACCAAGAACATCCTGCAGGAGTCCGGCAGTCCAACACAACCAACTGCAACCCAGCAGTAACTACCTGGTACAACAGCACTAGAGACAACCAACATTGAAGATGACCCGCGCTCGACCAACAGCCACATGCACGGCACAGGCGGCTGGTAGGAAAGGCAAGAACTAGCACAACCTCTACAGCAACCAACAGTGCATGATGATAAAAAGCTGAAACACCTCCTTAATTATCTCAAAGGCACAGCAACATGGAAGCACTCACCGCAACCAATTAGGCTCAACAACCACAAGACTCCCCTGCAGCAGCGACAGAAGCATTGCACCTCCGCAGCTTCTTGCGCTCACAACACGGAAAATCAAGATGCGCATGTGCACAGACAGCTCCGACAGGGATCATCAAAGAAAGCAAAACACATCGAGCTGAAGTACCTCTTCATTCAACGCTCTGTGCAGGAAGGAATCATCAGCGTGTTGAAGATCAGAACAGACAACAACCCACTCTGGCATCTTCATCAAGTACATCACAGCAGAAATTCTCAACCCTTTACAGGGTTGGTCTTCCTGGCCATCCCGCAGCAACAGCGCCACGAACAGTCTCACCAGCAGGGCCCGGTAGGTGCACGATGTAGCAACAGTAACGACAGTAGGTGTCACTCACACGCGCACACATTTGGCGCTTTTCTCTCTGTGACAGCAGTTCACCCGTTTCCTTTATTTGCGACGCGCCCCCGCAGACACACTGTGGAAGAAGGCATCCATAGGTATGAACGCCATCAGCCCAGCAGGCCCGACCGGCTGCATTCGTCAGTAAACCTCTTCCAAGGCATGAAATCGTTGAGCGACGGGGATAGCAGGTTCAAGCGCTGGATGGCAGCACATCCTTATGAGAATCAAAGCAGTGAACACTGTGCGGTTGTACTTAGTGCTGGGCCAGGAGGAAATCCAGAGCGTAGTCGACAACCCGGGGCCAAATTGGCATGTTCCGCGGGAATTCTTGGCTTCCATCTTTCGACAAGGTTGCGTTTCCCTTGCAACTCGCCTCTTCAACAAGCTCACCATGTTTCGGACGGGCGTGTCAAAAGCCAGAACCATTGTCGGTGGAATCTTTTCGCGGTGGAGCCCAGCGTTGCCAAGCTGGCGAACATGATCAGCTCTGGGCACATTGCGCTTTTCAACAGGTGTGTTGCGGCGCGATACCAGCTTGAGTCACAGTGTCTCTTTCCTTTCGATCAGCAAGAGACAGCAAGACAGCAAGACAGCAAGCCAGCGCATATTCACCATCGCGCACCCAGCGGGCGCTACAAGTCCATGATCGACACCTCTGTGCGGCGCAGCGGGTACATTTGGGATTTCAATGTGTTCTACGGCTAAACGCAGTGAGTGCGCACAGGTAAGTGGGCACATTCTCTCTCTCTCTCTCTCTCTCTCTCCCTCTCCTTCTGTCTCTCTCTCTGTGTCTCTCTCTCTCTCTCTCTGTCTATTTCCGGCGCACAGGGGTCAATGATGACGCAGCGATGCAAATAACTAGCGAAATCAGGACCCGTCTCTGCTGTCAAAGAGAGATTCTGGTACGCAGAAAGGAGGGCAGCGGTTGCTGCCCGCGGCTTGCAGCATCGAAGATGCGGGCGACGCCCTTGCACAAGGCACCCTTAAGCTGGGCGGCGTGGTAACTGCCATCTGCAGCACGGGGGCAGCTGCCCGGCCTTCATCGCATCGTGGCAGGACTTCCAGCTGCTATCCTTTGAGCACGCAGGTGTGCTGATGTCTTCCTGCAAGATTTTGAAGATCTCAGGGTGGAACTTCCTCTCCGGCTTTTTTGCGGTCTCTATCATGGCTCCCAGCAACTTTGGCATCTGATGCAACATTCTCCCAGCTCCCCACGGACGACACCGAAATCATCGGCGCATCTCCTTTGCTGGAGAACTGTAGGTTTGCTTTGTCAAGGCCAGCGCGACCTGGGGTTTTAGCTGGTTGCTTCTTATCCTTCGGCGTGTGAGGCGGCTTCTCATCATGCGCCGCTTTTTGGACGCATGCCGCTGCCACCCGTCCCACTTCCAATGCTGGCCAACACAGTACTCACATTTCCACCTTGTCATAGCTGCAGGCAACGAAGGATTTACGTTGCTGTTCCAAGAATGATGCATTTGCAGCACGCTGTTCAAGTAAGCAAGTTGTCTAATTCTTAGGTTGATTACAAAAGATGGTTGGCGATGCTTCTCTTTCCTTCTCTTTCTTCTAGCTCTTGTACGCCAGGACCCTGGAAAGTTTTACAGGGGGCCAAGACCACTCTTTTATATCGAAGCAACCCTGTTCACAGCCGCGCGACGCATCAAAGGCGACTCTCGCTCAAAGCCCAGGACGCCAAGCGCCGAAGAGCTTGCAGATGCCTCAGGTGCAAGAAATGCGGAGCCTAGCCCAAGCTATTATTCCAGGATCCTTGAAGGATCTTTGGCGATCCCCACATACTGCATACTTTGGGCTCACTCTTCTCCATCGGATCTCTCCCACGCACCCTCAAAGCAGGCCAAACAGGAACAGACTTTAAACTCACGCGAGCGCACAACCTCTTCCAGCGGTCAGAAGGGAATTGCCCGCTGCTAAACACCCATAGCATCTTGTGTTCTCCAAAAACTTGCAACTAAACCTGCTACAAACCACTGTCAATTGCGTCAATTGCTTCGTCTGCAGTTGGGGAACCAAACATGTCCAACCCGGCGCTCCTGGCTGCTTGTCACCGAGGCAGTTCGGCTGATGTTGGCCCCAGCCTTGAGCAATGCAAGCTGGCGAGCGGGGGCATGGTTCCCGCCCTCGTCTCCGCCCGTCCAGGGTAGCTTGAGACAGCGCCCAGCTGTATTTTCCCTTCAAGTCGTTGGCGCAAGCTGCATCAGAAATGCATGGCGCAACAACAAGGATTGGAAAACGTTGCATTGTCTTATCAATGGTCGTGGAACTTGCAAACAACAATGCTATGTGTCCAGCTAAAAAACAATGAGTCACAAAAAGCGGGCCAGCCGCCAGAAAAGCAAGACACCAGCAGGCAGGAATAAACGATGGGGACATTGAGCAAGAAGACAAAACAGAACCCACCGCAACAAAAAAAGAAAACGGGTGATCCCCTGCCTCCATGGACTAGGAAGGTCCACACAAAACCACACAACAGCAACCACACAAACGCACAAGCAACACACGCACAGTCCACACACACACACACGCACAGAGGCACAAACACCTCAATACTCAAACGTGTCAAGCCACATCTGCGTTGCTTGACCCTGCGAACGCACTAACACACGCAAATGTGCACGACAACAGATCCCTGTGACTGCGCGAAACTGCGCGAAACCGCACCACACGCCCAAATGATAGGCACACACGCGAAAACACTCTGACACAAACACTTACACACACACACGCACAGAGACACACACACACACACATGAGTACTCGAACGTGTAAAGGCACTTGTGCATGAACACGCGCACGCACGAACACATGCAGACGCACACGAAAACAAAACCCTGTGACCGCGCGAAACTGCGCGAGACCCCACCACTCGCCCATATCATAAGTACACTCGCGAAAACACTCTGATGCAAACACGCGCGCACACACACACACGGAAACCCACACACACAAACGCACAGAAACAGACACACACACGCATTAGTACTCGAACGTGTAAAGGCACTTGTGCATGAACACGCGCACGCACGAACACACGCAGACGCAACCCTGTGACTGCGCGAAACGTCGCGAGACCGCACCAGCTGCCCATATCATAAGGACACTCGCGAAAACGCTCTGACGCAAACACGCACACACACATGCACACACACACATCACACACACACACACACGCACCGAGACCCACAGACACATGAAGACTCAAACGTGTCAAAGCACTTATGCGTGAACCTGCGAACGCACTTACAAACGCAAATGCACACGAAAACAGGTCCCTGCGACTGCGCGAAACTGCGCGAAACCGTACCGCACGCCCGTCTCACAAGCGAACACACGAAAACACTCTGGCACACACACACACACAACGGCACCCAACGCCGTGGCACACAGATGCGGCTGGAAGCTCAGGTTCCGGCGACCAATCCGTAAAGCACGCATCCCAGCAATGCTTGCATGGCGGGGGTCGGGACTCCGGGAAGAGGCAAAGCAGTTGGCCTTCCAATGGAACAGCCCCCTCAGCCAACGCTGAGAGAAGCTGGCGCCCGCCTCTGCCTCCCCAGGTTATGGATCCCTGACTTAGACTTGAGCCAGAATGGCTCGCCCGTAAGTTGGTGAGCGACGCAAGGAGGCTTGGGGCGTTCTGAAGCCCTGCCTTCAAACTTTTGGCGCCGGGACCTCTCGCAGCCAGCGCGCCAGAAGCAGCGCAGGAGTTCAAGCTCTTTGACTCGAGAGAAGGTGTCTCAGTGTTGCAGACCTGGAACCTTGCCCCCGCCACGCTGCCCTCCTGCTTGCTGTTTCCACGAGCATCGTCTTGCAAGGGCGAGGCGTCATATTCATAATCATTCCTCCTGGGGCCCTCATTGCTATTGTCACCAGCATCATCGTCATCATTACCCTGGTTCTTGCCGGGGTCCTCAGCATTGCCACTTTACCATCAGCATCTATAAAGACTTTTCCATTTCCGCAAGAGGTGTAAGAAATCTATATCCGGCACGGATTGCAACGCATCATGGCCATTCCTCGTAATTTCCATCACCAGCCATCATCATCTTCACCATCATAGCCATTGTGGTTATCATCATTGTCTGATGGCGGCATTTGAAATGCGTCATCATCACCATCATCACCAGCCATCACCAGCCATCACCATCATCATCATCATCATCATCATCATTGTCATCACCATCGTCTTTCATCGTCGCCAACAGCATCATCATCATTATCCTAGTTCCTGCTGGGGTTTTCATCATCGCCACCATTATCATCAGTGTCATTATAGACTTTCAATTTCCGCAAGATGTTTAGGAAATAGGTTCCCGGCGCGCCTTGCAACGCATCATAATGTTCATCGTCATCATCATCCTCCTCACCAGCCATCATCACCATCAATCATCTTGGGTTTCGTCATCGCCTGCTTGCGTCACTTGCAATGCGTCAGCATCATCATCATCATCACCAGCCGTCATCATCATCGTCCTGTTTGTCATCATCGTCTGCTTGCGCCACTTGCAACGCCAGGGGATCTACACCGGAGTCAGTGTTCATCATCGTGGTTATCATCAGCGTCTGCTTGCGCCACTTGCAACGCAAGGGGTGCTACGATGATGGTAACCATCATCATCATTAGTCATCTTTGTTTCTTGCCTATCTGTCTTGTCTTTCATATATCTGATCTTTCTTACGTCTCATCCTTCTTGTGTTCTCATCTTTCTTAAATATACATGTCAACAGTCACGTTAGACGCGACTTGCAAAGCAAGGGGTGCTATGATAGTAGTTCTCATCAAAGTCGTCATCATCATTGTCATCATCGCTGCAGTTGTCATCATATGCAGGGGGCCAACCATCATTGTGGTCATCATCGTTTGCTTACGCCACTTGCAATGCCAGGGATGCTACAATGACAGTTATCAGAGTCATTGTTCTGACAATCTTCATAGGCGATGCTGTGGATGCAGGGGGTGCCACAATGATAGTTGTCATCGTACCGTCATCATGGTGATGATCATTACCATCACCATCACCACCGTCATCATCGTGTCTTTCTTTTAAAAAGTCACGTTAGATCCGACTTGGACACAATGACAACAGCTGTCAACAAAGTCGTCCTCACCCAAAGGCTCCGCGCTTGAAAAAATCAACTGATCGATTGATAAAAGTACCATTTCAATCTTCGATTGAAAACGGCAAATCAATATATGAGGTTTTGCATGTCTCGCACGATCTATTCGCGATTGAAATTTCTACTGAATTCTCGCTTGAATGTTCAGAGTTTTCGACTGGTTTTTCGACAGATTTTTGGATTGGATTTTTGATTGGCTTTCTACTGTTTGTTCCTGGAACTGATTGTTCTATACTCTTGTGTTTGGCTGTGTCTTGAAGTGCCTTACACTCCTTTAGCTTTGTGGCCGGATAGCTATGAGTGAATAGCCATGCTTCACACACACTGCTGGCTGCGTCGCCATGTGCTCCACACTGCTGGGCACACTTGACACACATGGCCACACACACTGACACTCTGCTGAACTGCCACTCAGTGGGTTTGTGTGTGGGAAAGGGTAGACATGGAACATTTGCTGGATATTCAATAGATCTGGGCTGGATGACTCACTGAACTTTTGGAAGTACTTCAACATAAGCAGGCCCATGGCAGTGAATGGCAAGGAACTCCTACAAGCCCTAGCCCAGGTGAACCCACAGCTTGTCCTTCAAGACACCTACAAAGAGCTTGAGAAGACCTTCCTGGCCTCAAGCACAAGTTCAACTTGGAGAGGAGGGCCAACTTGGCACACTAGACGTAGACCATTCAAAAGTCGCAAAATCTGGTTTGCCACCGACTCCTCGAAAGCCAGCAATCTGAGACACAAAGCACTTTGCCGAAAAAGGCCCTAAAGACTTCACCAGTGCCAGCCAGGAAAACAAAATTGAAAAGCCTGATGAACGCCTGCAAAAGAGCCCACAGCCAATTTAAAGGGGCCAGCGAAGAAGGACGCAGCCAAGAAGCAAAAACATGATGAGGGAGACAGGAAGCCTGCAGATCATGGTCTACAAGCAAGCTGAAAGTTTTGCAGTGAGGGTGTAGCCGGGCAGGCAGCTTTTTGCTGTTAGCAAGTTTCTCCAAAATAGACCAGCCAACCTGTAGCGAGTTTAGCATGCATCAATGTGGCTATGGGTGATGGCTGGAGGGGGGTGGCTGGATAGCTGGATAACCGTGCATGTAGAAGCTGGCTGGATATCCACGTTGCGTTTGGCTGGCCGGGTAGCCATGTTGCGCTTGCCTGCGTGTTGGTTTTACAAATGTGTGCTTGCACTTGCGCATTTGTTGGAAATTGCAAATCGATGAAAGACTTTTGCGACCAAGGTAACCAAGCCAGGTCTGGCCTTGCGCTCTTGCAGATGCCACAGCACACTGACCGCCCTGAGGGGGCACCCTCGGAGAAGGGGCATGGAACGCGTTGTAGCGCGTGCCGCTTCACTTCTGTCACTCGTGGCTCTAGCCACGCGGGAAGGGGCACGAACGGCCTGCTGTCCCAGTTCGTGGGATGACGCCAAGCTGCAGCAGCGCCGTGCTGCAGAGCGTGCTGCGCGAAAGCCTGGGGCATGGCGACTTGGTCCACACGACGTAGTTGTGGTGGGTTGGAGATTGGGGAGGCTCAGGATGGAGAAGTTCCAACTATGGTGGTGGAGGACACCAATGGCAAGGAGACCATGGCCAAGAACGACAAGGATGGAGCGCAGGGAACAAGAAAAGAAAACCAGGACAAGTGCACGATGGACAAGAAGGCCCGCGAGGACAACACCCGATACTAGACCAAAAATGAGCAAACAGAGCCACAGCAGCGCTTCTTAGCTGGCTGGATAGCCACAAGATCAAATCACTGATGGCTGCAAAAATCACATGAAGACCCATGAGGACTTATGAAGAGCCATGAAAGATTCATGCAGACCCATCATTACACATGAGTATTTATGTTGTTCAAACATTTTTTGGAAAAAGAAAGCTAACAAGGAGGTGTCTTTGGAAAACGGCCAGCCTCAAAGCAAGAAAATGAGGAGGACGCAACTGAGGAGAATGCAAAGAGGACCAAAATTGACAGAAGCGAACATTACTTACTACTCACCAGGCACTGTTGGACAAAGAGCACTCAGTCCCCAAGAAAGTTGGTGAACTGATAAAACTTCTTGCTTGTGACTAGACCGCGGCTATCCCGAAAGCGCGTGCGACAAGAATGCTGCGATGTGCAGAGGTGTGATGTTGCTTGTGTACGCTGCGTCGTGCCACGTATCCACGCGCTACTCTACTCGACAACTGAAATTCCTAAACCTACACTTCCTCACGCCAAACAAACATCTAAGCAACGCATTTCTAGCATGCAGCAATCGCGCTGCAGCATTGCCTCGTGATCCGTGTGCAATGCTAAGCGGCGAACGTGAAACTGCGAAATCAAGCCCGCGCATTCAACGCTGCGCTGCGCGCGCGCGCGCCGCTGTACAATCGCCTTGCTCTCTCTCTCTCTCTCTCTCTCTCTCTTTTTCTTTTTCTCTGTCTCTTTCTCCTTCACCTTCGCTTTCTCTTTATCGTCAGCCTTCTTTTGTCTTTAGCTTTATTTTTATCTTTCTCTTTATGTTTTTTCTTCCTCTTTATCTATCTTTTTCAATTTCTTTCTCTTTCTTTTGCTCTCTATCTCTCTTTCTCTTTCTCCTGCTCTTTTTCTTTTTCTTTCTCTCTCTCTCTCTCTCTCTCCTCTCCCTCTCCCTCTCCCTCTCCCTCTCCCTCTCCCTCTCCCGCTCCCTCTCCCTCTCCCCCTCCCCCTCCCCCGCCCCCCCCCCCACTCGCTCGCTCGCTCGCTCGCTCGCGCTCGCGCTCTCTCTCTCTCTCTCTCTCTTTTGTCTCTCTCTCTCTCTCTCTCTCTCTCTCTCTCTCTTTTTTCTCCCTCTTTAAATTGGAGTTACAGTGCTACAAGTGCAAGTGCTGTAATGTTGTCACTAACAATCAAACCTGTAGTGTCTGCGACGCACGTTTTCCAAGCGGGCTCTGTAGCCATGTGACTGAGCAGCTCAAGGCCTTCGGTAGTGTACACATGTAACACAAATGCAAGTAGTGAAGCGTGTAGTTTGACACGGCTCTCAGATGAAAGATCTTTCTGTAGTATCTTTCTAACTGGAGTGGAAAACAAAGGATTGCCAGTAGTGATGAAAACTCTTGTTATTCATCTATGCTACTGTAGTGAAAAGAAAAGAGGTAGGATCCTCAGTAGCTCACGCTGTTCAGGTCTCAGTCCAGAATGTAGAGAGACTGAGCGGAGTTGGTGAGGAAGTACCTGTAGTCGTTCGTAGCCAAGCCCGTAGCTTAGACATGTAGTCCCCAATGCTGGAGCCGGTAGTTGCGTACCTGCTCCACTTGTTGGTCCAAAGAAGCGTAGTAGTTGATCACAAAGTGCTCGTTGAAGTTCGGGGCACCACGTAGTCGGTTGTCGTCAACCTCTGGTGGTGCTACCTGGTGATGGTAGTTGCGGAGGAAATGGTGAAGTTGCAGTCGTTGTTGTGCAGTGAGGTTTGTCATTGTGAGTAGTGTGAATCCATAGTAGTGGATGCTTTTGCAAAGCATTGTAGCGATTGCTTTGTGTTGAAAGTCCTGCAGTTGTTCGTGGTTGTTGAGGTAGTGAAGTAGGTCAGGTAGGAACAAAGGCATGTGGTAGTTCCAGATGTAGTTGTTCTTCAAACTGTAGATCTCAGTGAACCTGCCCAGGTCACAGTCCACCTTGTAGATGAGTTGTGGATGTTGTGAAATTGGAAGGTAGTTTGTTGTCCGGATGGAGAACATGTAGGAGATGTAGTCGCGGGTGAAGTGGATGAATTGCCCTGAGGTACGGTACCTCAAAAGTAGTTCTTGTTCCACATGTAGTTTGACAACGATGTAGCTGTCCTTGTGATTTGTTGTAGTATGCAGTGAAGTTGTGTGGTAGTAGTGCACGTTACAGGCCTCAGCAAGCGAGATGCTGAGTAACGCCGAGTCGTAGTGGGGCATCCTAAGATCACCCGGGATGCACTGTAGTGGTCGTGTAAAATCGAGTTGTCCCAGTGGTGTAGATTGTTGTAGTGAGAGGAGTTGGTACTCTTCAAGCTGAATGCTGCGAAGAGTTGCACGTAGTGTGTGTGTGTGTTGTTGTGGAGTAGCGGTGTCTGCGTTGTCTGGTACTGGGTGGTGTGTAGTTGTTCCATGGTGGCTGATGGCTGGTAGTAAGGTGTGGTGTTGGGCGTAGTGTGGTTGAAGTGGTAGTTGGTGAGGCAGTGGTAGTGACCAACGGTCACTGGAGTCCGTAGCCCCCTCTGCTCGAGGAGTCAAAGCCTGGTTGGGTGTAGTGTCTCCCATAGTGGCGTCGGCAGCGGACATGGCTGTAGTGAGCAAACCGAAGTGAGACTGGGCAAAAGGTATGAGCCTATGTGCTGGCTATCAGGCAAGCGGCGCATGCAGGCATGAAAAACAAACAACTGTAGTGTTGACTCAAGCAGCCAAAAGTGCAAGTGAAATTACATGTAGTTACTGTTACGTGCATACCAAGAGTGTCGTGATACATGTAGCTATTTACATACAAAAAATGTTCGAAGTCCTTGTTGTTTCTGCTGCTGCTGCTGTTGTTGCTGCTGCTGCTGCTGTTGTTGTTGTTGTTGTTGTTGTTGTTGTTGTTGTTGTTGTTGTTGTTGTTGTTGTTGCTATGGCTGTTGCTGTTGCTGTTGCTGTTGCTGTTGCTGTTGCTGTTTCTGTTTCTGTTTCTGCTGCTGCTGTTGCTGCTGTTGCTGTTGCTGTTGCTGTTGCTGTTGCTGTTGCTGTTGCTGTTGTTGTTGTTGTTGTTGTTGTTGTTGTTGTTGTTGTTGTTGTTGTTGTTGTTGTTGTTGTGAAACATTTGCGCTGGTCGTTCGTAGTGCTAAACGCGTATATATCCCAATGCTCTGGATGAGCCTGTGTAGTGTTTCCTTGCTGATGTGTTTGGTAAACAAATCTGCGCTGTTGTGAAGTGTGTTGATCTTAAGGATTCTGATGATGTCGTGTTTGACGAGGTCTTGTGTGTGGAGAAATTTGAGGTCGACGTGCTTTGCTCGTTCGCTTGTGCCGTGTCGTGTAGCAATGCTCTTGCCTGCTGTGGAGTCTGTGTGAATGCGTAGGTTTAGTTTGCTGCTAATGTTGGTTTCAAGTAGGAAGTTTCTGCGGTGTAGTCCCTCATTAACTCCCGCGCAAATGGCGTAGAGTTCAGACTCTGCTGAACTGAGTGCTATTGTAGCCTGTGTTCTGCGGCCAAATGCAACTGTTGTTCCTAGAAAGATGATGCTGAAACCCGAAGTTGATTTCCTGGTAGCAGGGCATCCTGCCCAGTCAGCATCGACATGAACGTCGAGATCCAGGATGTTGTTGGTGTTTGCTGAGAGTGTTGTTGTTGGTTCTGTGCTGATTTTGTAGTGTTTGGCGCCGTGCAAGTAGCATAGATTTTTTGACTCTCTTTTGTGAAAGTTCTGTAGGTGCTGTGAGGTCTCGTGCTAGTTCTTTTGTTGCGTATGCGATGCCTGGCCGTGTGTATGCTAACCATTGTAGTTTGCCAACAATCCTTCTGTATCTTTTGTGTTGTTCGTGGTCAAGAAGCGCTTCATCCTCTATTGTTGGTTTGTAGTGGGCGATTCCTGGAGCGGTCACCGTGTTGCAGTTGGTCATTCCAGTCTCCTCGATCATGTTGTTGATGTAGGAGTCCTTTAGTCCAAGGTTGCAGTAGTTGCCGAAGTGGTCAGTGCTTGAGTAGAACCTGCTTCTGGATGGCCTTGAAGATGGAGTCAACCGTAGTCTTGTCTCCAAGGACCAGTAGATCGTCCACGTAGACCATGGTGCATGATGTATCAGTCGCGAGTCGCATTGGTGTAGACGTTAGGTTCTAACTTTAGTGTTACAAAGCTGAGACTTTGTAGTACTTCAGCCAGGTAGTCCTGCCATGCTTTAGGTGAGCTGCGTAGTCCACACATGACTGTCTTTAGCCGCCGTATTTTGTCCTGTTGTGGACAAAGTTCTTTAGGTGGCCAAAGGTAGACGTCACGTTGTTTACCGTCATGGTCCTTTGCGATGGGTGCGTGTAGAAATGCTGTAGAGACGTCGCCTAGTCGCGCGATCCAATTTGGTCGCAACATTTGTAGTGCGAGAAGTGTCCGTAGTGTCGTGAACATTGGTGTAGAGGCGTAGACGGAGTCTTCGTCCTCAATCTTCTCAGTGTAGCCTTTTGCGACGATTCGGCTTCGTACTCCTGGTCCTTTCTTTCTGTGGACCCATCTTGTAGGTATTGCTTCTCTGATGACGTTGTCGTCGACTGTAGACGTATCTACTTCGTCGTAGACGTCATGTAGTTTCATTTGGTTTGATCGTCTTTCAGTCCTTCCAGTAGTTGTGTTTCGTCGTAACCTTCGTTGTCAAAGATTATAGGTTGGTCTTCGGAGGTGTCGTCGTTTGTGTAGGGAGTGATGGATGTTCCGTTGGGAAGTGTCACTGCGTTGATTTTCTGTCGTAGTGGTTGTGGCTCTTTGGCTGCTTGTTCCGTTGATCTGATTGTAGTGTCCT